TGAAATGGACAGTTTCTATTCATTTAAATTAAGGTCATGAAGGAACCTCATCAGAGCTCTGTTTATGAGAGCTAATCGATTCAATTATAAGCAGCAAAGAAAAAGGAAGAGAAGAGGAGATGGGAAACTAATTTTTAATCTAAAATATGCAGAGTGATTGAAGTGCGATCTTGCCTCGAGGTAAAGCTATCGCAAAAGGCACCTAACATCTATTATTCCGACAACAGGGATTACTCCAACAACAAGGGACTAAGTGCTACGCCTTTCCTATTTCTTATATTTGAATTATCTCCTCCTCCTTGCCGAAGGAAAGCTGCTCAATCGGTTAATTTTTTGACATTTTGGTACATTACTTCTTAGTGAATGAAAAAATATCATATCAAATGTAATGTTATTTGTAGTGTCGTGTTGGCATATTCTTATTTATTAATAAAAAATTGTGTCGATGTTTTAAAAAGAATAATGCTCTTTGGACAGACTCAAAGACAACGATGGAGGTACATGATGACGTGATGGATAATTGGGTGTTGAGTTTTTTTTTTAAATTGTTCAATTATATGTCGACATGCGTCCTCCCTATTTTTTAACATGTATTTGAGCTTGTTTCTGTAGCACAATTGTGTTAGAAATATAATGAAAAGACAAGAAATATCAACTTGATCTTCGTAAGAATTTGCCCTTGTTTGAGCCTCATTTTTCCTTCAAAATGTATTTTTAAACAGTAATTTAACCCAATTTCAACAACACAATTTTCACTAAAATAATATTACACGCAAATTTAAAATTTTTTCTTATTTTTTAATAACACATTCTCCATCATAACACTATTGTTAAATACATTTTCGGGGAAAAAAAAAAACAAAAACGTTTCTCAAACAAACCCTTTAATTGTACTGCCAAGTGTAGAGTTATTTTTCATTCAAATGCACGGTTAAAGTCTGCAGGAAAGCCAGAGATTTTGTTTCACGCAAGCTGTCATATAGTCTCCTGTCAATATCATT